AAAAAAAGAGGAAATTGATTTTTAAACATAAGAAATAGTTACATTATTGGCAGATGCTATTGTGGACATTAAGATGAAATTAGACCCACAATATGACGTGATTATAGCTTATCAAGAAGTGGAACCTGCCTGTAAAAATAGTGAATACAGTAGAAAAAACTCTCATTAAATTGGAACTAATTAGTTATACCTTATGGAGAATAGATTTTCAGCCAGTTGATAATGAATACATAATTTGGTGCAAGGAATCTAACAGTAGGCTACAACTTATAAGAAACTTTGGAGAAGACAGACACTCCTGTGAAAATAACTTTTTTGAGAGAGGGCCTAGGAATCAAAGATTGAGATAAGGAAGTAGAAGAATAACTAAAAAATTATAGATCTCACTGGAAACTTCAAAGATCTTCAAAGATTCTTTGACGTGCAGAGATTAACCTTCATAGACTAATGAAATATTTGAATTTTCTAATATTATTATTCTAGAGGAATATCTCAGTGTCCACCTTGTCTCAATCTTTCCTTTTTTCCTCCACCTGCCCACACCAGGACACATCCATCCCCTCTACTGGTATTTCTCCACAGTCTGCCTAGGGGAAGCCCTCCTTGGTATTGTCATGGAGTCTGAGATCAGAGAATTACAGGTGAGGGCCAATAGGAGCATAGTTTTAGTTTCTAATGTTCAAATGTTTGAAATCCTCAGAACTCTTAATTAAATAAATTGTTCTGTTGTCTTTGCATTCTCCAAACAATCCAGTTCTCTTGGGAGGTACAGAGAACAATGAAGAATGGAAAATATTTCAGTACATTGTGTGTCTACAGAGGTAGCACAGTGTGAAAGAAATCTATTTTCTCCAAGTAGAAACTTTTCCCCCTTTGGTTTGATTTCAAATTCACAATTGAATTCAAATTCTAACCAATGTGTGATTTCTTTTAAAAATCTACTCCAGGAAAATCTCTGTGATACACTTCCACAGAACTGTTAGATTTTATAGACAATTTGGTGTCCACAATGTTATGAAGGAAAAAAAGA